GAGGGCGGTGGTGGCCCTTAAAAGGGCCTTTGTGGTGGCATGGTGGGCCGGCTGCGGCGCGGGCGCCCCTCAGTACTCCTGAGAGGCCTGGGTGGCCTTCTTGCCGCCCGCGGGCGCCTTCGGCCCCACGGTGGCGCTGGTCTTCTTGGGCAGCAGCACGGCCTGGATGTTGGGCAGGACGCCTCCCTGGGCGATCGTCACGCCGCCCAGCAGCTTGTTGAGCTCCTCGTCGTTGCGGATGGCCAGCTGCAGGTGGCGGGGGATGATCCGCGTCTTCTTGTTGTCGCGGGCCGCGTTGCCCGCCAGCTCCAGGATCTCCGCGGTGAGGTACTCGAGCACCGCCGCCAGGTACACGGGCGCGCCGGCGCCGACCCGCTCGGCGTAGTGGCCCTTCCGCAGCAGCCGGTGCACGCGGCCCACTGGGAACTGGAGGCCGGCGCGCGACGAGCGTGATTTGGCCTTGGCGCGGGCCTTGCCGCCGGTCTTGCCGCGGCCCGACATGCTGCGCGAGGTAGCAGAGCGGTGAAGAGGGACGCCTCGAAGGGGGCCAACGGAGAGCTGCCCGCCGCAGTCCAACTGCTGTCGCGCGCGCCCAGGGGCCGCCCTTATAAGCCCCCAGGGCACACCTCCGCGCCCTCCTGATTGGCTCTTTTCTCGAATACCCGCCTCCGGTTGGTTGCAGTTAACCCTTCCGTGACGCGCCACGGCTGAGGGAGCGCGCCCGCCGATTGGTCCGATTTGAAAACCTTTTGCCCGGGGAAAAAGGCGAGGAGGAGCGGTAGCACGCAGCCAGCCCACCACTCCCTGAGGTAGCCAATCCAGGTGAAGGGCGCCAGATTTAAATGCTACAGCTGGAGACCAGAACCGGAAGACAAAGAGGGTGGAGTCTGAGCCACCTCTGGAGGCTCTGGGAAATCTGTGAGGGCCTAGGAATTTTAAAGGAAAGGGGTCAACGCCACTGCCTCCCCTTCCAGGTCTGGTCCCTCTCTTCGCCTTTCTCCCTCCTCCCATCCTGCAAAGGGAAAGTGAAAAGGGGAAGATATGGGATCCCCTCCCCTTGTTCCCC